CGGCGGCGTAAAACTAGTAAGTAACGTACTGCGCTTCATAGCACTTTCAAAACTGGCCGGTCGACTTCCCGATCGTCGTGCATGCAGAAGACCAGACAGTGGCTGCCGTCATCGCGCTGACGTACATCTGTAAGCGACCCGTTCATATTTGTCACGTGTCAAGCAAGGAAGAAGTAATGTCGCCACGTATTAGCAGGATGAACTGATTGTTCATTCATTCGCCGTTTGTGCTTCAGATTCTGATAATCAAAGCGGCAAAAGAAAGAAACCTACCGGTGACGTGCGAGGTGGCACCGCATCATCTCTTCCTTAACTCCGCGATGTCGACCGGCAATTTTGCAACCGTTAAGCCGTCACTGAAGACCGAGCAGGATTGTAAGGCACTATGGGATAATCTCGACGTTATCGACTGTTTTGCATCTGACCACGGTACGTATCCGTTTGAACTTGACCGTTACTAGCTGTCGTTAAAGGTGATCTTCGCAGTTGCATTATTATTCCTTATGAATACAAACAGAAACCAGAGCTGGTCGGTAACCATTGGGATAAGTCTCCGTTACACTTGATTGGGCGAAATTTTTCGCCCTCCTTCAAACGAGCTTGTAATGCGGTGCTATTCGCTGTCGCTGTACATCAATCACTAGCGCATCGTTGTTTCTTTTCATATATATCGACTCTTATATGACGGCTGCAAGTTTCTGCCGCTTTTCAGCGAAGTGATATACTCTTTTGTCTAATTTGAAAAGAGGATATGCGAGTAAACTTACCTGATCTTGAACCCACGATCTTTCGGTTGCGAGGCAAACGCTCAAGCAGTTAAGCAACCCTGGTCACAAATAAACACAAATACAACTGTGCCTGGCTAGTGCTGTACACTATGTAACCAGACAAGCGCACACTGAAACTGTGAGTTCAGATGAAAGTTATCTTCATACATAAACATTTATTGAAATATAATGTTGTGTTCATAATGAAATCATAATCATGAAATCTTCGAGTTTGACAACGGCATCACATTGTGCTCATTGGGAGGTTGCCAATGATAGGTAGCGTGATGATGGTTGAAGTCAGTTAACTGATACAGAAGACCATCTGTCAATGCTGCAGGTTCAAACTAGCAACCGCAGGACTGAGCGGCCATTTACTGACCTCGCATAGTCATTTCAGTGGAATTGTAATCAGAAATTGAAAGTTACGATAACGGCATTTCACACAGAGCTTACCATTGAATTATAACGTAATGGACTAAATTAAACAGTTGATGCAAATGACCACCTTTCGGTTATACAAATTCAGGGCGGCGAACGAAGTGCTGACAACAACCAGCGGTCTGCGTCCAGAGAGCCTGTGTCAAAAAGTCCCGTTCCGTCTCAGGGAGACGCAGTTTTACGCTTCTGCAAGCCCAAGTTTGTTGACTTCAGTAGGTCACGGTGTTACGTATTGGTTAATTATGACCAGAATCTCTTCAGTTTCATTTTCAATTCTACTTTGACGCTAGCATTGTTCAGCTCTTGGATTCTTCTTTTGAGTTTCTCTGGTGACTTTAAGAGGATCAGAATATCTGCAAGCCGCGGATGGCTTAAGCGGTGCCCATTCATGTTCAACCCATGACTGTCTCAACGAAGTGTCTTAAAAATTTTTCTGGGACTGCTTTAAATAAATTCGGTCATATAACGTTTCCCGGTCGGGAACCTCTTTTGATTTTTAACTGTGCTTTGACTGTGCTATCATGAATCTTCACAAAAGTAGTGTATTGTATTTATTTGAAATGTAGGCACTGAATATTAATTTATTGTTATTCTAACTTATATTAGTGAAAACCGACTTCTGTTCATCAGATCAACTTTCTTTTTGGTAGTGATGATTATATATGCGCAGAGGTTATAATATTTCCGCTGGGTCATTGAACAGTTTATCATCCGCCGATGCGAAATGCACCGATCAGCCATGAAAACAAAGCCATAAAGCATTTTTTTGTTCATTTGGCACTGTTTCTGGAAGCAAGATGTCGATTCCGTTTAAACCCAAAGGAAGACGCGTATCGAATGAAATACTTAAGTTTTTTGGTTGTCTGTTGTCCATATGATTAACGAATCGTATTTGTATATTTTGAGAAGGAAAACCGGATTCAAGATTAGTTTTATTAGCGTAATGTATTCATAAATTTGTTTATTTGTATAGTTACGCTATATATGGTTAAGCATAGCTACCCAAGAATCACACTGAACTGTGTACTGACAATGCGCTTTCTCCTAGGTGTCTTGCAGGTCGGTTAAACAGGCCAGTGCTCAGTGCTATTTGAGTTCCTGTAGTGACTGATGCATTTCACACGATTTTAGTGATACTCGTCACCAACGATGCTTTACGGCCGGTATTCTTTATTTTCACATAGCGTCATAAGCAAGATGCCGCGCCAGTAAATAAAAGCGAAATGCATCTTCTATGCAGAGCGGCTCAGGTTCCAGAATGTCTAGAATGTCTCTATTTGCACGCCCCATGGGCGTTTCACCCAAAGTCGATGCCGCACACTGTGCAGTGTGATTGTAATGGAGTTGCAATCTCCCTCGTATGAAACTTTATTTTTGACGGGATTTTATTACAAAATGTAGTTCACGGCTTCTTTATTCGAAAATTATCTATCCTAATGTCACAAGTGGGGTAATAACTCATCAAGGATTTACATATATACATACGTACGTACATGCCGAACTTCGTCTGAAACTTCAATTTGTCGGAAAAATGTATATTAGTAGATCTTTATGCGTCGTTCACCCGTTTGTGACATTCCAGTAGATAGGAATATGTCGTGTAAAACCGCAGTTATACATCTGGAATATGCCATTATGCGCATTGCTGTAAGCGAACTGAGTTTTACATTTTATGACATCACTTCGTTGCTCGTCGATTCCTATAGTGCATAATACTGTGTAAACCGGTTTCATGCAATTATGCAGCTATTAGCAAGCCTCGAAGTACCACCCTGTATTGCATATTGCATGTAGAGTACATATTGTGCCCGGCTCAAAGAACGTCATTTTTGGTTGTTTGTTGACGTCATCACTTTGAGTCATTGGCATTGGCAGAACGTCTCTT